CCCCCCCCCAGGGACTTTTCCAATCCAGATGATAAGAGATTCCCAATCCCATTCAAACAAATCAAAAATCAAATTCAGTTAGTTGCCATGTGTGAGAGAAGGACCCTGGTACTTGACCTGGGGGCGTATATTTAGGCGCTTATTTCAAAGCCTGCTAGTAGCTGGCACATTGCCGTCTAAGTGAATTATCCTAAACTATTCCAAGATGTGGTTAGTAGCCAAGTGAGAGCAACCAGGAATAACAAGTTAATCAATTCAATTCTCTAAGTACTAAATCACTCATGCTATTCCATCTGTATCGGCCGCTGACGGCACATGTATTTGCTGTTCGTGTAAATTCACACGAAGACCACCAACACGCCCTCGCTCTCATTCATCAATTCGCGGGAACCTAGCAGTCTTCACTTCGAAACAAGCACAACCGTTTGCAACGCGTCTGTCTTGTGCTCTCCTAATTGCTGCTGCTACAGCCACTCTACTCACAAGCTGCTAGGGAGGCAATCTAGACGTGGTGCAGTATCTCCTTGAGCAAGGCGCAGATAAAGATGCCCAAGACAAATATGGCAGTACTCCGTTGATAAACGCCGCTTGAAAAGGCGGTCTGAATGTGGTGCGGTATCTCTTTCAAAATCAAGTCGAACCAACTGGAATCAGCAAGGATGGCAACTTCGTGTTGCTTCTACTGCTTAACCATCCATATTTTGCTAAAGACGAGCTTCACCCAGTTGCAGAACTGTTACTCAAACATTGAACACAAGAGTACTGGCGCAGAACGAACGCATTTTATGATATCAATGGGTAGTATTGAACGTTGTCAATGATTGTTGTGAGTTACGAGAGATGTTTTTATCGCGTCTTGGGCCCAAAATAGCTTCTTGAGTAAGATAATAAAACCCATGACTTATACACGTATCACGACCGGTGATCAATCGCGTGAGTGTCAAACCTTTCACGTCAGTACTTCACACGAATAGATCGGTGCCGAGGGTGAAACCTTGTACGTTAGTACATCATACGAATCGGTCAATACCGAGCATGGAGCGAACAGAGAAGAAGTAGAGAAAAGTTTCTTCAACACTAATTCTGAGGCGATGCGTACTGAGCAGGAGGGCGACGAGGACGACGAGG